TTCTTTGTATTGGTTTTTGTTTATTTTTATTTCCTTGATTTTATTGCCTTATTTCCTGTTTTTTTGGTTATTCCTAGCTACTGTTTTGGAGTTTGCTTTGTTCTTTTTTCTTCCAAGGTTTTAAGGTGAATTATTGAATTGTTAACTTGAGATAACTTTTTTGATGTAGGCACCAAGTGCTGTAAACTTTCTTTTTAGGACTGTCATATTTTTACTTTCATTCTATTGTAGGGATGGTTTTTACCTCCTTCTTGATTTCTTCAATGACACAATTATTCAACAATATGTGGTTTAATCTCCATGAGTTGACATACTTCTTGAAGTTTTTATTTCTGTTGATATCTAGCTTTATCCCTTTGTGGTCAGATAGAACATGGGATTTTATTTCAATTTTCTTATATTGGTTGAAATATGTGACAGATTTTGGAGGAAGTTCTCTAGGCTGCTTAGAAAAAGAAAGCATATTGTTTAGTGTTTGAATGAAAGTTCTGTAGATGTTAGGTCTGTTTGGCATCTCACCAGCACTGAGGTACAAGAAACATTGCAGAAGAATTAGAATGTAAGAGCTGAAGGATGGGGAGAAGTGCTGTGAAATGACATCTTCTGGACATGATATGGCTGTCATTATAAAGAATTCATAGCATCTGTGGTTACCTGCACAAGATCTATACAAGATCCAGCCAACTAAAATTCTGGCATAGACAGGGTAGATGAACACCAGGTCCCAACCCTTTCTAAGGAGCTATTGGAAGCAGAAAATTGCTGTTGGAAGTAGAATCACACTTCTGTAAGGATATGGCCACTCGTCTAGTGGCTGGCTCCACACATATGCATATAGGAACTATCAAAAAAAGACATGAAATTAGGAGGGGAAATTGGGAGTTGGCATAAGAGGAGTTGAAGGGATAAATGGGAGTAGATAATATTTCATTGTATACATATATGACATTCTCAAAAATAAAGAAAAATATTAAGTAAAGACTGTATGTTTTCTTTTGGAGTACAGAGAAGTGGTAGGATGCTTACAGAATATCTCTTCCTGTTCACTATCTTGGAGATGCTTGTGGCATCTGTAGTAACTGAGTGGACCTATAGAGCAAGATACACAGAAGAATAAAACAGTGAGTCTATCATTTTTCCTTCAGTGAACAGAAGCTACTAACTTCTGTGATGTATCCTGTTCAAATAACTTAGAATTAAGCATAAGTAGTGTCATCTCTAAACTGTGGATAGAGGTAGGTGAAAATATTTTGCAAAGCTGTTTGGCACTAAACAGCTCTTTCTATAACTGAAGCTAAATAAATTATACTATATGAAGTGAGTGGGGCTAAGGATGTAGCTCGGCAGTAGAGGACACATAGCATTAGTGAGGCTCTCTGTCTGATAACCAGAAGAAGCACATGAAAAGATGTCGGGGTAGGTAACTTGGGATAAAGCGCAGGGATAGAGACAACACTGGTGCTGGCTTTTATTTTCAGCACTACTTAACTAAGCCTAGCTCCCATCCAACCTCTACAAACACTCTACCCCAGCTTCTTCATCAGTTGATTCCTACTCCATAATTACATCTTGTTCAGTGTACCATCTAAGAATAGACAGAATTCCTTAAGTAATCTCTGCCTGAAATTAATGTGATAAAATTTAAATGGGAGAAAACATTATCAGATAATTTTTTTCTTAGATTTTTCCACTTTCTTTGCCTCAGAAGCTATCTCTGAGGGTACTTATGAGGGTACTTATATCTCAATCACTATTTGCCTTTCAATGAGTTTTCCTTAGCTAATGTAGTGAGATATGGAGTTGAAGTTCATCTAAAAGCATAACACTCATAAACTTTAAAAAATATATGGCTGGAACTAGAGGAATGGCTCAGTGGTTAAGAGCACTTGATGCTCTTGCAGAGGACCAAGGTTTGATTCCCAGAACCCACATGTTGGCTTACAAGCATCCATAATTCCAGTTCCAGGGAATCCAACAACTCTCCTCCAACTCTTGTGGGTACCAGAAACGTGCATGGTGCATAGGTATGCAATGCAAGCAAAACACTCATACACATATAAAAATCACTTTAAAGGTTTATGTGTATTGACTTAAAAGCAAAACACACAATTCTTTGAACAAAGGGACAAGAAAAAAACCAAAAATTGAAATGGTTTTCTATGCGTACTAATAAATTTTAAATGGAGAAGAGCAGAATATATAGGAGAGGAAAAGGGAAGATGGGAAAGAAATAGCAGGAGAGAAAAAAGAGAAAAAAATATTTAAAAAATAAGATTAAAAACAACAAGGTTTTGTCTGGGAAGTATATCTCAGGTGAAGCCCTTGCTAGCATCTATAAGGGTATGGGTTCTAGGACCAACACAAAAGAGAAAAAAAAAAGCTCATGATCTTATTTAAGACTCTCAACGATAAGACTATTTCCGCTCAGATTTCTTTAAAAGTGCTACTGAAATTGCATAGTTCTTTATCTCAGATCACATTAATGAGCAATTTCCTACCATCTGCCTTACCTCAGGTTCATAGAAGAAAACAAACCTTTTCCCGAATGCTAAAAGAAGTATCATGGCCTCAGTCAAGTTCAATGATTAGTGAAGAACTTCATTTTGTTCAAGAGAATGCTCAGAAATGGAATTTTATTGTCTGCCTCAGTATTTCCTCTCCTTCATTTCATTAATTAAAACTGATAGCAATGAATATGTTTGTCTTTCCATGTGGGAAATTCAGCATGAATTTATTTCATTGTCACAAATTAATCACGGGTTGAACCTGGTCAGCCTGAGTTAAAGGGTTCTTCTAAGCCCAAGAAATCTCATAAATGGGCACATATTTTCTAGCATGGACTCTATGCCTAATATTGATGAAGTGAAGTAATGCTGACTCAAAGCAATTTCATAATTAAAAGATAGATAATAAGCACCTCATCATCAGTGAGGCAGACTATCTAAACACCTGACTAACCATAAATGAATGTCCACAGAACTCTTTTACTTGTCCATTTTCTGCAATATTTTATTCTTTTTCTCACAGCTTTTCTCTTTGACTCACTATATTTAAATTTTATGAATTTTAAATAAATTATCTTTCCAGCAATATTCTGCTGTCTGTGAACACCTTTTGTGTTGGTCATCTTTCTGTTTCTGTGACAAAATGCCTGAGGAAAACAACTCCTAAAAGAGAAAAGTTTGCTTGGGCTTCCACTTTCAAAGACTGAAATCCACATTTGGCTGGATCTACTTCTTTTGAGGTTATGGTAAAACAGCACCATGATGAGGAGAATGTGGCAAAGTAAATCTGCTTACGTCATAGAAGCCAAGGAGAGGGAGGGGGAAGGGATGGAGAGGGGGGAGAAAAGGAGGAAGGGGAGAGGGAGGGGGAGACCGGGATGGGGAGAGGAAGAGGAAGGGGTGAGAGGGAGGAGATACAGGAGAGGGAGGGGAAGGGAGAATGGATGGAGGGGGGGGAATGGGGAAGAGAGGAAGAAAGAGGGAGGAAGAGGAGGAGAGAGAGAGAATGAGGGAGGAAGAAAGGGAGAGGAAGAGAGAGAACAACCACCAGAGTGTCCCCCCTCACAATCACCACAGATTGGAACCAAGCCATTAGCATGTGGACCACTGGAGAACACTTGAAGCCTAAACCAAAGCCCCTTCCCTCCTTCCTACTTTTTTGAACCCCATAACCTGCTCCCACTTTCCTGTTTTCATAAACAACTGATAGATGGTGCAAAAGATACATATTTTATATGTAAGTGCCCCCAGAAAAGGTCTGTGGCGTCTTATTATAGTCATATGTGTAATTCACATAGATCATACACACACGCACATGTACCTTTCTCCTCCTAGTTGTATGTTTTAAAAATCCACTCATGTTGCTATTTGTATATCAGTTGGGTTTTAAATGTTGCCTGATAGTCTGTGGCATCTATGTCAGCACATTTACACATTCCTTCTTCCGGGAATGTACATGTAGGTTACGATTTCTTCCCTTGAATAATTTCTTTGGGACATGCATTCTTCAGCAGAGTATCTGATATATATGTGTATACCCAACATACACACACACACACACACACACACACACACACACACACACCATTTGCTTAAGGAGAATAAGAAGTGCCACCATTTAGAACATTCCTCCGTTGCAGACTACTTGATGTTGCATACTTTTTTCTACAATGTACTCTGTATTCTCTTGATCGCTTAAGGGCTCACAGATGTTCTTTATGGCTTAGAACTGGAGTTCACATGAGCAGTGAGTAGTCATCTACTCTGTGTTCCTGGTGAACTTGAAACCACAGTTCTGAAAGATAGTGGAATACAAAGAACAAGCAAGAAGAAATACAGAATGAGGAACAAGGTTCGAATACATGAAGGATAATGGAATAATAGATGAAATAAAGTTCATAACCCACGGAAAGAAGTGAGCCCAATTATGTAGAAATGCAGACACTAGCAAATAGAACTCTTAATTCTTAGTGAGCAAGGTAATAATGAGTGATGTATGAATACATACACTCGGGAGAGATGATGGAAAAATGTGAAGGCCTTTAATTTGCCTTTCAAACAAATAGAAAGCCATCTAAAAATGGGGGGAGGGGAGAAAATGGCTCAGTAGATTGCGACACAAGCATGAGTACCTTTGTTTGAGTCCCCAGAACCCACATAAAGCCAGACATGGTAGCACACACATCTGTTATCCCCTGTCTCATATGAGGAGACTGGGTGACTGGGACAGGAGCATTCCAAGAAACTCACTGATAATTGTTCATTTGTTTCCATCTGAGGTTGTGTTGTTGTTTGAATGTGAAATGTCCCTCATAGGCTCATGTGTTCGAATGCTGGGTTCCCAGTGGTGGCGCTGTTTAGGAGAAGGTGCTTTCCTAGGGAGAGTATGGGGGGAGGGGTTGAGGTTTTACAGCCTGGCTATGTTTCTTGATCTCTCTTTGCCTCCTGACTTCCAGACTGACCTCAGGCTCCTGCTACCATGCCTTCTCTACCACGATGGATTCTGTCCTTTTGGAATTGTAAGTCGAAATAAACCCTTTCTTCCCCCCAAGTTACCTTTTGTCTGGAACCTCTCTCACAGCAAACAAAATGAAACTAAAACAGGCTGTTATGAATAATGCGATCATGAATATTCATGAACAAGTTTTTATGGATTATGTTTTAAAATTTATGGGGATATATACCAAGGAGAATAATCACTAATGATATAGGAAAAACATAGGCAACCCTTAGAAGAACATCCACTATTTCAAGTCTACTTATTCCAAAGTATCTGCACAATTTACCAGCAAAGTTTATGGGTTCCAAGCTTTCAGTATATTCATCAACACTTGTTTTGGTCTGTCTTTCTCTGTTATATTTACCCTAGTGGGTGGGAAATGGCATCTTGATGTGGTATGTTAGTGCAGCTTGGATTTGCATTTAGATAATCAGTAACAGAGTTCAACATCTTTTTGTGAGTTTATTGACCATTGCAAATCTTCTCTGAAGATATAGACTCTTTTGTCAATGTTTAATAAGGTCACATTATTATCCTCATTACAGGTTGTAAAGGGTCTTTATATATCCTCAACTGAAATCCCTTCTGAGATGTATGTGGACACTGTGAGATTTCAGCCTGAATCCTTGCAAATATTAGCTTTCATTATATGAGTCATCATTTTTTTACACTTTTATTAATTTATTATGTACAAAATAATGGGTTTTACTATAGCAGTTCATACATGCCTTTCATTGTGATTTGTCCATGGTCATTTCCAAATTACCCTCCCTTGATTTGTCACTGAAGTCAGTTTGTATGGTTTTATTTTAAAAATTGCCTCTATGCTCATCCAAGAAATTGCCCTGTAGTTTGAAGGCCTCTAATATGTTGTGATCTATTTGTTTGATTTGTAGCAGGGAGGAACTTGCAGCAATCTTCCTTCTTCAGCTTCCTAAATTCTGGGACTACAGGTGTGAATTGCCACCTTTGTTATCAAGGGAGTAGTCTTCTAGACTAGTTTGGTAGTTCTTTCTGAAGCACTGGGTGAGTGTAGACTGTCTCCTGTTTCCATCTGAGTTCTTGTCTGCCGTCCTTCCAAGAATGGAGTGGGCAGAAAATAAGGGAGAAAAAATAAGGTAACTTTATTTGCAAGAAGGGCATCGCAATTTTAAAAGAAAAAATTCCAAGACCCTTGGTGGCAAGAGACACTAAGCAAGAGGCAGTGTTCCAGCTCTAAGTCCACAGTAAGCTTGGGGTGAGAGGTTGCATGTGTTACAGGTCTGCAGTCTCCAGGGGCTTTGGGGTGCCAGCCTAGAGCTATCTCTTTGGGGTGCCAAAGAGAGTTCTCCAGGAGCTTCCTGCCCAGGGCAGAAGCTTCAGGCATGAGAAACCATTGAGTTCATCTCCTGTTTCCATCTTCCTCAAGTCTTGAGCATTCATGAACAATCCACATCCAGAGCCAGCATCTGGCCTCTGAAGGCTGGTGTCTTCCTCCTCTATCAAGTATTCCATGACTAAAGTGTGTCTTGAAGCCTTGAGCATGCCAGAATTTATTGAGAAACCAGCTGGGCCCTAACTGGTTGAATGTGGGCACACAGCAAGGTAAGACATAGGATCTATCAGGGAAGAGCTATCAACCTCTAACTTCTGGATGTTCCCAGTGGTTCCAGTCATCTTTGCCAGCTTCTGCCTGCTCTTTCTGGCTTGTTCATCCTCAGGACTCTGGCTGTTAAGCCGGAGTTCTCATGTGGCAGGGATTTGTGTCTTTTACAGATGCTGCTGCTACACTGACAGCTGTCAGCTGTCTACTGTCAGAGAGCCCTGCAGCATTTAGGGAGCTCACACTGAGGCTCTTCCTACCCCATCACTTCTTTGTTGTTGTTTTCCTTTATTTTATTATTAGTTATTTGAGAGCTTTATTCAATGTATGTTAATCATACTCACCCTCTTTTCTACCTTTTCCCCAACTTACCCCTTTCCTACACACTCAACTTTGTGTCCTTTTTGTTTTTAATCCTTCAAGACCCGTGTGTGTTGCCCAAATACACATTCTTGGATGTGTGGTCTTCCACTGGAGAGTTGTCAACTTACTAAGGGCTCTCTCGCTCGCTCGCGCGCTCTCTCTCTCTCTCTCTCTCTCTCTCTCTCTCTCTCTCTCTCTGCCAGCAATTAACAGTTGCCAGTAGCTTCATGGCTAGGGGTGGGATTGCATGCCCCTCTGCATGTTAGAATTTGGTCTGGTGTGGGCTTGCACAAGTTTTGTACATGCTGTGACAAATGCTGTGAGTTCATGTGTGTGGCTGCCCTGCCATATCCAAAAGATAATGTTTCCTTAAAGTCATCCATCTCTCCTGGTTTTTATGTCCTGTCTGTCCCCTCGTTCTCGGTGATCCCTTCTCTTACCTGTTAGAACACATGTCAAATGTCACTGGAAATGATGTACTGTCTGGTTCAGAGCAAACTTAATGGAGGACAAGGAGAAGTGACAAAACAAAGTTTCAAATTATAACTTTGAGGTTAAGTGGGATGGTTAAATGGGATTCATCATATTTGTTTCTGTGTGTTCACAAAATCTCAGTAAACCCAAGATCCTAACAGGACTTCAAACTTCCCTCATCATCTCCCTGGTTCCCTGTCCTCCCTCCCTGCATAAGCCTGCTCCTAGAATATCTTGAGAGACTGGCTTCCTGCCAGACCTGATCCCTGCCCTCTTCTTGCCCCAGGTATCCCCGAGCTTCTCTCTGTCCGCTTCTTTATGCCTTTGATCACATTTCCCCCTGTCAGTGAGGCTCTTGTGTACCCCTCCCATTACCGTGCACCCCGTGTATCTCTGTACTAAGATTTATTTTTTTCTCCTTAGCGTTCACTAATTCTGACATGACGTTTTCTTGTGGGTCTTGTTTACTACTGTTTTCACTATAATAAAGTCCCCCAAAGAGGTGTTGCACTTGTTTTCTTCATTGTTGTTTGAGACCAGTGCCCGGCACATACAAGTCCTCGATGAAAATGCATTGAATGTTAGGCCACAAGAGGGAGCCTACTGTTGTCATTTTGCTAAGCGCTTATGCTGTCAATTTGTGTTCTAAATATTTATATTTATATCCGTAGATCTGTACTGCTCTGAACCTTGGTCAGAAAAGCTTCTTTCAGCAGTAAGTAGAAGTTAATGCAGAGATTCATAGCCAATCAAAGCGCTGAGAACAAAGGGCTCTGAGTGTCCAGCTGTATATGGCTCCTCCATATCAACCTCCCCGATCCAAGGCTGAGCAGACATAGCAGAAGAGAAGACAGAAAGAATGTAAGAGCCAGAGGATAAGGGTAAAATTTCAAAATACTATCTTCTGGACATAATATGGCCGTTACACAAACTCATGGCAGCTGTGGTTACCTACACAAGGCCTATGTAAGATGAAACAGGTTAAAAATCCCAGTATGGATTGGGAGGCCTTCCTGGGGCCTTCCCCCTCGGTGAGGAACTATTGGTAGCTGGTGGTGGCTGGGGGAAGGACAGTCATTTTTCTCTGGGAATGTGACACTGGCAGGTTGCTCTTGCCCTGGTGAATAGCCCTATACTTACCAGCTTAGGCAGCACTTATTGGACTCAGTGGATTACACAGGGGAGGGGTAATAAAGTTTGGAGGAAGATATGTTGGAGATCCTCAATGAGTCGGAGAGGGGAGGAAGAGTGGATATAACCAAGATTCATTGTATACATGAATGAAATTTTCAAATAATAAATTTAAATACTATTCAAAAAATTTATCAATTTCCAATACACCAAAAAACATTGTTGCCAACTGCTATCTGTACTTCATCATCTGTTAGAAATAAGAATCACTTGTTCCTACCATATATGACTGAGCACTAAATAGGAAGCTCCCTGTGAGGGACATAGGTAGTGTGGGAATGTGTTTATAAAATAATTTTGAGGCCGGGCGGTGGTGGCGCATGCCTTTAATCCCAGCACTCGGGAGGCAGAGCCAGATGGATCTCTGTGAGTTCGAGGCCAGCCTGGGCTACCAAGCGAGTCCCAGGAAAAGCGCAAAGCTACACAGAGAAACCCTGTCTCGAAAAACAAAAAAAAAAATAATTTTGATCTTCAAACTGCTGTAGCACGAATTTGTGAAGTACCTATTCTGCCAAAGGAGAGACTGAGTAACCAAAAAGTTAAACAGAGAATGCTTACAAGGTTGTGTTCACCACATCTAGATTCTTGGGGTATGGGAGCTTTCAGAAATTGTTTTTATTTAAAGAAAATATAATTACATGATTTCCCTACTCCTCCTATGTCCTTCCCACTCCTCTCCCCCCCCCAAACCCTCTATATAAATGAATAAACATATAAATACAGCCTTGCTGAGTTCCTTCAGTGTTGCCTACATGTATATGTTTCTAGGGTAACCACTTAGTATTGGGTAACCAATCAGGGGGCTCATTCCCCAGGAAGACAGATCTCCTTCTCTCAGCAGTTGTTAATTGTTTGCCCCTCTTCTATCCCTATGTTTCTTTTTTAAAAAACTTTTCATATGCTATATGTATGTATGTATGTATTATGTATATAGGTTTTTCAAGACGGGGTTTCTCTGTGTACCTTTGGTGCCTGTCCTGGAACTCACTCTGTAGACCAGGCTGGCCTCGAACTCACAGAGACCTGCCTGCCTCTTCCTCCCACGTACTGGGAGGTGTGCTAGTTTGATCAGATCCTTTTCCCTTCCCAAGTCTTCCCAGATGTTCCCGGTCTCCCTACCCACCCAACCTCATATTGTTTCTCACTCTCAAAAGAAAAAACAAACAAAAAAAAAATCAAAGACAAAAAAACACCAAGCGGTAAGAACACACTCACAGGGAAACATGGAATCTGTCTTGTGTTAATCAACTAAAAGCATGCACAAATTCAAGCCAGACAAAATCCCAGCAAGGAAGAGGGGAAGTGGGCACAAAGTCCCACCCCTAACCAAGAAGCTGTTTGCAAATGATACTTGCTGAAAGGGGAAATCAATTTTCTCCAACCTAGTGACAAGGTGTGTGCTTCTTCAAAAAGGGCGGTCTCGGACGGGCACTGGGTCGCCAACACTCGGTGGTAGAGGCTGACACAGTGACTCTCCCCACTTCACCCGAGCTGTGTGGCGCGAAGGGACAAGGACAGAATAAGATACTGACTCTTCTAGGACAGTTGTGTGTTTGGCAGCTGCTCCCTTTATCCTCAGATGGACTGTGGAATCAGCAGGGCTGCTGCGTGCCACTGCCACTGTCCCCGATGCCCACGTGGGCCTCTTGCGTAGTGCCCTTAGTAACCAAGCTCTTTCTCACAACCGCAGCTTTAGATTCTCCCGAGTGGGGGATGAAGGGGTACCACCCAAGCAGCAGTGTCCACCAGGCTTCCCTGGCTGCGAGGCTGTAAGGCCCCCCACAGAGGGCACTGCCCACCAGACCACACCACTGGCCCTGATGTAAGTGTGGGAGCCTTGGCCCAGGTGCCATTAAGACTCAGACGGGGTCACACCGAGGACAAGGGTTTCGAGGCCCTGGCCCCTGGACTCTGTCATCCTGAGTTCTCCCATTGCTAGGAATGTTTTTCTGGTAACAGTAGCTGAATTGCGACAGCCAAGCTCATCAATGTCTTTGGGAGAGATTCAGACAGCTAGGCAGTTTGCCCGGCTTCACGTCGGAGAATCTTCTAAGTAAATGAACGTCAGTGGAAAGGTTGCCCGTATTGGATGCACACCATCACAAATCAAGACATCCAGGTTATGGGATCCACCAGATTTGAGTTCTAGGTTGAAACTTGTTTATCCTTATCCCTGTGTTTATCCTTATACCTAACACTTTCAACAACCCTAGAGTGTCCTTTTGAACCTGGGAGTCTGCATCACCAGGGCCCTTAAAGTAATCTTCTCCCACCCCAGATACATATATTCATATAGCCTAGATTTTAAACATTGCCATTCCACACATACCACCCAAATTTGATGAAAGTTACTGAGTTCCAGCTTGTTCTTAGGAACAATAATAAACACCATAGTGACTCTATCTATTCCACCCTCCCTCTGTGAGCAGACACTTCTTTAACTCCTCTTTGTTAATATTAAGCCAATGAACGGCTTGAGCCCATAGGATAAGACCCTGCCACCTCAGATACCCTGAACCAAAAGCCAGTCCTGCTGGGTTGTTACAAACATCGGGAGCCCACAGAAACTTAGATAGGCATCATGCAGTATAGAACTCCAGGGATGTGTCACATGGTATGTGCTTAAAATCTGCAGTGTTGAGGATGAATATGACACAAACACATAAAAATTTGACATCTTGGTGGACCAGAAACTGATCAGAAATGGTTGGAGTATGATTTAGCGATTATATAAGCTTTTGTTTCCATGTAACCTTCCTTCTTGAGACGTGCTTTTACTGCGCGTGGAAATAATGTATTTTCACTGTCACTTGTCTTGAAATATCTTTTTTTACTTTTTAATTGTTATTATTAATTTAGCATATTTACATGAATTTATAAGAATTTATAATATAAATTTATAATTTATAATTATAATTTATAATTAAATTTTCCTTATTTTACTGAGGATGTCAAGTTCCATCCCATAGTGACTGGTGACAAGGATGTCAGTATAATTTCAATCTTAATTTTTTTTTCTCATTTGCACTGTATTTTAAATGTTTGTCACCACACTTACTTTGAAATTTCTCATTTTATTAGTATTAAAACCCACAGAAACCACTAGCCTGGCTCATAGGAACTCACAGAGTCTGAACCACCAACCAGGGAGCCTGCATGGACTGACCTCAGCCCTCCATATGTATGCAACAGTTGTGTTGTTTGGTCCATATGTGGCATTTCCAGCAATGGGAGCAGTGGCTGTCCCCAGTGCTTTGACTGGCTCTTGGGAACCTATTCCCCTTGCTGGATTGCCTGGCCCAGCCTGAATACAGGAGGAGGTGCTTGGTCTTACGGCAACTTGATATGCCATGCACAACCCTTTCCCCCCTCCCTCCCTGTTTCATCATCCCATTCCAGCCTTCCCTGTTCATCTAAACTATTCATTTTCCTCTTTCTAAGAAAACCTATCGCTCCCCACTAGTCCCTTAGTGTATGTCAAACCTCTGTGATTTATATGGACTAGCTTGTTTGTCAAAGACTTAACAGCCAACATCCACATATAAGCAGATAAGTATTTGTCTTTCTGAGTCTGGGTTACCTCAAACGGGATGATTGTTTTTTCCTAGTTTTATCCATTTACCTATGAATTTCATGATTTCATTTTTTAACAGTTGAGTAATATTCCATTTTGTAAATGTTGCACATCTCCTTTATCCATTCATCCATTGAAGGACATATTGTTTCTAATTTCTGGCTGAGTAGAGCACCAATGAACATGGTTGAGCAAGTGTCTCTAGTAGAATGAAGCCTCCTTTGGAAATATGCCCAAGAGTAGTATAGCTGAGGTAGATCTATTTCCGTCTTTGTGAGGAACCAACACACTGATGTTCCACAGTAGCTGTGCAAGTTAACACCCCCACCAGCAGTGTATGAGTGTTGCTCTTTCTCCACATCCTCACCAGCATGAGCTGTTATTTGTTTTATTGATCTTAGCCATCTTAGTTTTGATTTGCATTTCCCTGATGAGTAAGGATGTTGAACATTTCTTTGTGTTTCTCAGCCATTTGAGTTTCCTCTTTTGAAAATTTACTATTTAGATCTATACCCCACTTTTTAACTGAGATATTTGTTTTCTTCATGCTCAGTTTTTTGTTTGTTTGTTTGTTTAGTTTAGTTTAGTTTTTATGTATTTTGGATATTAGCTTTCTATCAGATACATAGTTGGTAAAAGTCTTTTCCCATTTTGTAGGTTGTGACAGTCTGAATGACTGTGTCCTTTGCCATGCAGAAGCTTTTAGTTCCATGAGGTCTCATTTATTAATTGTTAATCTTAGTGCCTTATTAATTGTTAATCTTAGAACAGTGTTCTGTTCAGAAGGTCTTTCCTTGTGCGAATGAGTTCAAGACTATTCCCCACTTTTTACTTTTCTATCAGGTTTAGTGTATCTGGTTTTATGTTCAGGTCTTTGATCCATTTGGAGTTGAGTTTTGTGCAGGGTGATAAGTAAGGATCTATTTGTAGCCATCCAGTATGACCAGCACCATTTGTTAAAGATGCTGTCTTTTTTACCATTGTGTATTTCAGGCTTTTTTATCAAATAAGTCAGGTGTCCATAGGTGTATGGACTTATTTCTGGATCTTCAGTTTGATTCTATTGATCAATATATCTGTTTTTGTGCCAATATCATGCTGTTTTTATTACTGTAGCTCTGTAGCACAATTTGAGATAAGGGAGGGTGATAACTCCAGGCTTATTTTTATTATTCAGCATTGTTTTATCTATATGGGGTGTTTTGTGTTGCCATATGAAGCAGAAAATTGTCTTTTCAAGTTCTTTGAAGAATTGGCTTGCCTTGGAATTTTGATGGGGTTTGCAATTGAATCTGTAGATAGCTTGTGGTGGGATGACCATTTTTACTATGTTAATCCTACCAATCCATGAGTATGGGATAGCTTTCATCTTTTGATATCTTCTTCAGTTTTTTCTTCAATGTCTTAAAGTTTTTATCATACAAATCTTTCACTTGCTTGGTTAGAGTTAACCCAAGATATTTTATGTTATTTGAGGCTACTGTGAAAGGTATTGTTTCCCAGATTTCTTTCTTGGTCTATTTTTCATTTGTATATAGGAGGGCTGCTGATTTTTTGAGTTAATTTTGTATCTAGCTACTTTGCTCTAAGTGTTTACCAGCTGTAGGAATTTCCCAGTGAAATTTTTAGGGCCAGTTTTGTATACTATCATATCATCTGCAAATAAGGATACTTTGACTTCTTCCCTTCTAATCTGTATCCCCTTGATCTCCTTCAGTTGCCTTATTGCCCTAGTTAAGTCTTAAAGTACTATATTAATAAGTTTGGCAAGAGTGGACAACCTTGTCTTGTCCCTGATTTTAGTGGAATTGCTTTAAGTTTCACTCCATTAAAGTTGATGTTGACTATGGGCTTGCTGTGAACTGATTTTATTGTATTAAGTCATGTCCTTGTATCCCTAATATCTCCAGAACTTTTATTATGAAGTGTTTCTCTACTGCCAGCAGAGAAACAAACCATGAGAGACAAGAAGGAAACTTGGTTTAGGATAACTTAGTTAGCTGGGCTGGTTCAACCTTCTAGAGTCTGACCCTGAGCAATTTATTTTTACATATTTAAACACAGTACACCTTTGGGTACTGTGTTTTCTCATGACAGTTATCACAATAAAGCTTAGGGCATGACTGTATCAAAACTCCTTTGTAAATTACATCTCTTTTGCAAAGCACCTATGATTTTTTTTCATAAGAAAGTGTTCAATTGGCTGAGAAACAATGCTCAAGATAAAGATGTAGGGAGGAGGAAGGAAGGGTTTGTAATAAGCATAATATCAAACTCTTTTGCAAAGTACATGGCCCTTCTTTCATAAGAATGGGTTCTATTGACTAAGAAACAATGCTTAGGAGTCTGGGGGGATTCCAGTGAAGGCTAGCTTCACAGAACAGCAAAGATTAGCAGGTTATTCACACATCCATTCAGAGATTTTCAGATGGAAAACAAATATGCATATCCCTTGTGTTGAAGAGAAAAGCATTCTTGTTTAACAGTTCCAGTTTCTCTATTACATGTGGACCTCATTCCTTCTTCAATGAAGGGATGTTGGATTTTGTCAAAGGTCTTTTCTGCATCTAATGAGATGATCGTGTGTTGTTGCTGCTGCTGTTTTACTTTCAGTTTGTTTATATGGTGGATTACACTTATCAATTTATGTATGGTGAACCACCCCTAAATTCCAGGGATGATGTCTACTTGATCGAGGATGATCTTTTTGATGTATTCTTGAATTAGGTTTGCAAGCACTTTATTGAGAAATTTTTACACCTATGTTCATAAGAGAAATTAGTCTGTAATTCTTTTTCTTTATTGAGTCCTTATGTGGCTTGGGTATCAGGGTAATTGTGACCTTGTAAAACAAATTGGGCAGTATTTCTTCTGTTTATATTTTGTAGAATAATTTGAGACATGTTGACATTAACTCTTCTTTGAAAGTCTAATAGAATTCTAGGCTAAAACCATCTGGCCCCAGGCTTTTTTGGTTGGTAGATTTTAATTACCACTTCTACATCACTAGGGGTTATAGATCTGTTTAAATTATCTATTTGATCCTGATTTAACTTTGGCTGGTGGCTTAAATTGAGAAAATTATTCATTTCTTTTAGATTTTCCAATTTTGTGGAGTAAGACTTTTTTTTAGTGTTTTTTTTTCTCTTTTTTATTTAATTAACATTGTTTTTATTTATTTTACATACAAACCTC